ACTTAAACGTCAGATGAACTGAAACAGCATGGTACTGAATGTAGATTACCCACCTGAGTATTGTTACCAACATGGAAAGGAGATTTACAGAGGAAGCCCAGTGCCATTGTTTTTGGAGCTGTTGGTCCTTTTGAAGCTGTTGGTTCTCCTATCATGTTTGCTTGCTTCACTGATGTGGCAGTTATCATTGGAGGAGCTTAGGACTGTGTCACTGAGAATGGCTGCAGTTCACTTTGGGGGAGCTCTGGTTCTTAATTTGAGCATCACTTGCTGGTTCCAGAGGGGAAGATGTATGCTGTTCAATTCCCCGGAGAAGCCTGTGACACTGGCTTTGTGATATGAACCCAGCTATTCTCATTCTTGGAGGAACTCAGGACCTCATTGCTGGGGATGGCTGTGGTATTTTTTGGAGGAGCCCTGGTATTTATTTGGAACATCAACTCTTGACTTCAGTGTGGAACCCTCAGTCTACTAGCACAGATCCTTCACCTCACTGACACTGACTTTCTAGCTTCCACCACTGATCTTTGGGACTTCACAGCACAGATCCATGAAATATACCTTCATGAGTCATTGTCATGGGCTCTAGGTCTCTAGTTGAAGTCGTGGGAGACATTGTCATGGCTTCTACATCTTCAGATTAACTCATGCTGGACATTGCCATGGGCTCCATTCCCTCAGCTGGATCATAGTATGTCTTTAGTATGTGGACAGACTTTTTGCACTTCTTGTATTTGACTCCTGGGTGATCATTATAAATATTAGTATGAATTATGCATCCTGTATAAATGTAATTGTTTTACTCACAATCCCTGACTAAAACAGCTTCCCTAGGGGAATCTGAAGACTTTGCTGCTCCCAACAGACTTCAAACTCAGCCCTACATTGAAACAAACACATAAACTACCACAAAACAACACATGAAAATTCACATATACAGTTGTGTCCACTCTCTTATGATATATTTATGAGTTTCAAATAAAATATCCTGAGACATAAAAAGACAACAAAACAATAATCACAATTAAAAAAGGTAATCACTGAAACCAAGCCTTACCTCTAGCAAAGATGTTGAAATTTTTAGACAAATGAAGTTTTTAAATGTTTGAAGGAATCCTTTTTTAAGACTTTGAACATCTAGTCTATATTGATATGATCTGCTCCAGAAAAATTTTTGAATTTTTTCTTGCTCTGTGAATATCCTCAATTTCTTCAATATCCTCAATTTTTACTCTACTAAAAGCCTCCTTTTTGTAATGACTTGGGCTGGAGATTTAAAACAGTATTAGAACACATGTATGGTGTACTCAAAGTCCTTAGAACATATGCTTGATATACTCAATGCCCTGAATTTGAACCCAGTTTCAAAGGAACTACTAACTACAAAATGATTGGAATTATATACTGTGAAGTCATTGATAGCATTATCTTTTCTGATTTCACACCAGCCCAACTCATAATTCACATGGAATCTGTGATGGAACTTTTTGCAACAATAAATATTACAATAAAGCCAAGCTAACAGACTGAAGTATGGATGTAGAGTGGCTGTCAGGAGTGCTGTATGTTTCTGCTGAAATCACATCAGTTGTGTTATTATCTTATCATTAGTTTGGATTTTTGCTTTCAGGTAGTAGGCAAGCCCTACTCAGGAAGAGTAGAAGGCATACAAGTGGAAAATGACAGTGGCCCCTGCCAAATTTCTTATCATTATCAATCATTTTATTTTGGTAAAATCTCCAGAAGTACACATATTGAATTTGACATGGACAATTGCCGTCCGTCTGAATGAGCATCAACACAGTTTTATTCTGTTATAGTATTTGTTACACTATCCATTATCATGTTACACATCTAGTTCTCCACTTCATTTGTGAGCTCACCAAGCAGGAAAAGATTCTGTTTTCTAAATGTTTTCAATCCTGTACTTTCAATCATGACATAGATCTAAGTCAAAAGTACTTTGCTTCTCCTACAATTTAAATTTCTTACTACAAAGTCATTTTCCAAACATCTGAAATAACCATCCCATACCATGACTTTATTGTATCCATTTTAATTTTTGCATGTTGTTCTAAGTTTGTTTGTAGAATTCATATTTTACATGCTGCTATTTTGGAATTTGCTTATCCATATCCTTATTCATTCATTATTTCAAAAACATTAAATAAAATACCTCCTTTATGCTGAGCACCAAGCTAGATGTTAGGAATTAAATAGATAGATGGGGAAGTTAATTTTTTTATCAATAAGACTAGATTAACAGCTATCTATAGAATTAGAAATGCCTCATTTCTTGACATATCTGTGATAGTGTTTTCAGATGACATGTGATGTCACTGACTGAGTGTGAAGATATTAACATGGGGAGGTAGCATCTAACTGTCTAGGGAGCTGAGTAGAAACAAATACAAACAAACAAACAAAGCAGAGGTAAGGCACATTTGCTCTATCTCCTTTCTTCAGAAGCTGGAATACCTTGTTTTTCCTGCCCTAGAACATGACTCTGGGATTTATATCGGAGACTCCAGCTGTCTCAGACCTTAAGCTTCAAATAAGAGGTGCACTACCTGTTCTCTGGGTCTGAGGACTTATTCATAGAATCAGCTATGTGATGGTCTTCTTGGGTCTCATCTTGCAGATGGCCTGTAACCTCTCAGGCTTCATAAGTGCTTGAGTGAATTCCCTTAATAAATTCCTTTCTCTCTCTCTCTCTCTCTCTCTCTCTCTCTGTCTCTCTCTCTCACTCTAGCTCTTCTGCAATTGGCAGTATCTATCAATTCATCTACTTATCTATCTCTCTATATCTATCTATATATTTATCATCTATCCATCTCTCTGTATTCAATGTATAAAAAACAAATTCAGTTTCTATTTTCCTAGAGCTACGAAAAGTGAGAACCTTTATTTATCCAATAATCATAAATAAATATAAAATTATAAGTTGACCATATTACCATTTGATAAGTGCTATGTTGCTATGAATATAATAAAATTTTAACAAGTGATGATATTTTAAAAATTCAAAGGAAGGTGATATGAACACTGAAAAACATTTAAATGAGAAAACAACACTTCAAGAAAAAGGAGCATAATGAAAGGTTCACTGTACAATAACAGATGGAGGTAAGGAGACGGGATGTGAATGCAGACTCTGGTCAGTATCTTCACCTTTCTCCAGTGGAGGATGCCATTTTTCTATTGTGTCTTTGATTAACACATCTTTTCCTATTCCAACTTCTTCTTCAAGAATTTCTTATTTCTTAGGTTGGTGCTTTAGATTTGCCTCTAAATTCTTCTTTCACAAATACCATTTTCTTTCACCTTTTCAAACATAAGAATTTAACTTAATACCATCAGTGATTTGAAATTTTCAGTCATCTAATTTTAACCTTATTCAATTTACATTTTAACTAATATTATCTTATTTTAATTCCTTGCAAACTTGCCTTACCATAGTTATCTCTACTAAATTTGTGTATATTTCTCTAAAATTTATTTTTCTATTTCATAAATGTCACTGGATTAATTATTATCATTTTATGGATTTGGGGATTTTGCAGTAGGTCCAAAAAGCAGAATATTTGTTAATGTTCCTCTTTCACTGAATATATCATATTTGTAAGCTTATTCTTTCATAATATTTCATATTTAATATTGACTTCCATATTCTCCTTTGCAAAGTATGGAAAAAATGAGCATCAGATTTGCTTTGATTTCTTCTCTTCCTATTCCATCTGCCAAATATCTGGCATTCAGTAATTACTAAGTAAATATTTAAAAAATTGTCTTTTCTTAGTAATATTTTTAAAAATATCCCCTGATTTTTCTATTTATTTATTTTTCATGAGACATATTATAGCACACATGCCCACCTGGTTTATGTGGCACCTGCTAACTTAGCATATAACATTTTTGCTCCCAATTCCTGCTTAATTAATAAATCTTTTCTAGATCTACAGTCTGGGACTAAGTTAATATGACTTTCAGAACAATTTGTAACTTCCAGCAAGCATTCATAACATTGCTCAACTCACATATAGGTTTTCTTGATCTATATTTTGTCTTCAATAAAGAGCTTATATCATTGCAAAGTTTTTCATATGCTATGTCCAGACTGCATCAGCTATGTTTTAAATAAAAACGAGTAAAATGAACTTATTATTGCATAATTTTTAGTTTTACAAGTGATCCTAATGGAAACACAACATAAAAGCATTTCAGACAATGAGAATTAACCTCTAACATTCATTGTAATATACTTAGTTGCACAAAAAAATACAACATTAAAATATTTGTTCTCATTCATTCTGCTACTTGTTCTCTGGATAGAAATGTGAAAGATATGTTTTCTTTTCACCAAAATAAATGAATGGACAAGCAAAAAATATATATTGATGACAGATGATATTTTATCAGGTATAGATCTCACATCTCCCAAGGAACAAATGGGTAAAATGAAAATGTATCTATTAAATAATATTTGCTTTCTGAAGTCAAAGTTATTTTGTCTTAATCAATTTCCATGCCTCTGGTAGAAACTTACATTCTTTATTATGTCCTCTGATAATCAGAGCTTGAAAATTTTTGAATATCTCAATTTCTTCAGCAATATTTTACTGGAAGAAGATGCCCCTTGTTCATCAGTCAAGCACAATGTCAAATTTTCAATTAATAAGGCTTGTGAAATGTACGATATACATAAACAACACATGTCAATATTGCATGAATCCACCATCATGTTAGATTTTAGGCTAGAATAACATTATCCAGACTTTTTTTTACTAAGACAGTAGGCTTTTCTCCTTATTTATGCTACATATTTCTCTCATTTTCCACTTCTGTTTTTGTAGACACTGTGATTATTAACAGTTGTGATTAAATATTCTTTCTTCAGTTACATATTAACTAGGCCTCTCATTTTAAATTTACATGCAGCATATAATCTGAAATTAACCACAGGTGCATAACAATACACAAGCAAAGACAATTCCCAGTCCTTTTCCTTTATTGTTTTTTAAAATAAATTTATTCATTTTTCTGTCACATACATTATGGGAATTCACAGTGAAATGACCAGGAACTGAAAAATAGCATACTACTGCATCAATACACTGTTTTTTTGGAAAAAACAAAAGAAGTATCTTTTTCTTCAATTAAATATGTGTTTCTTTCACTATTGCAGATGGTACAAAATGTTCGTTATTATTTGAGGGTTCTAAATTTACTTCATTTGTGTCTTTGCATTCATTTTCAAATGATTTTCCATCTTTTCCTTCATATTTTTTCTTCATGAGATGAAAAAATACAATATGAAAAATATTTCCTACAAAATTTAAGGATGTGTTCAAACCCAAGAAGGAATTTCTATAAAAGAGAGAAAGAGTAGGTTATCATTTTAAATTCTACGTAATAACTTACTATATTTTTCTGTAGCATGCAAACTTTACAGAGAAAAGTTAAAATTATACACAAAGATATGAAGACAATTCCAGTAATTTCTTTCATTAAGACTCAAGGAGTTTTGGATAATTTTTAAAGGATTACATAGATATGACAGTCAACTCTCACTGAGGAAGACAGCCAAATTCAGGGTGTCAAATAAGCCTGCCCCACCTATGGGAGAAGCAAGTTCTAAGAGGCATGCTTAAAACTCACCAAAGAAAGATAGAGGCTTACTAAATGCCTGAGACCCAATCATAGGATTAGAGACTGCCAGTCCTCTTCCTATAGTTTATATCATGTTCCTAAACAATTATTTAGTCTTTTCCTGCTTTGTTTTTAAATGGGGTGATTTTCCAGATGCCAGATAGCAACAGCTAGCAGCAGGTCTGGGTCTACAACACAACCATGACAGTAAATAACTTATATGCTACAATGCATGATGTTGCTAGCATTTTTTTAGGGGGGGAGAAGTACTGTGGTTGGTTATTTCACTTCCATTATATCTACAAAATGCCCAACTGTGTGTATTCCTGGCATTTCTTGCTTGAACGATTCCTTAGAGAAAATCAACTGTAACATTTCTATGTTGATATGAGATTATTTATCATTCTGATTTCTTTCAGGAGCTTATCTTTCATTTTGATTTTCTGTGGTTTGAACATGAAATGATTAGCTGCAGTTCTGTGTATATTTTATTTTATTTTATTTAAAAATAAGCTTGGTGTTAAGTTGGTTCTCCTCTACTGTCGGGTAACGTAAGTATTCTGAGTACGCTGAACATGAAGTCTTCTAAACTATCATGTTTTTTAAGTTAGGACAAGTATATTAAATGCAATTTGAACTTATACTCTTTCCAATCTACAATGAGTGCTTCAGGATATGACACATTGTAAATTGAGAATCAGCTATAGCTTAGAAATAAGAAAACATATATATATATATATATATTATATAGTACATATATATATGAAGAGACAGAGCTACAGAGAAGAAATAATTGAAAGTAAAAGACATACTTTTCTTATTCTTCCTTTATCTAACAGATAAAACTATGTTCAAAATAGTTGTAACAATCTGTTTGATTATGTAAAACATATTTATTTATACATGTGCTTATAAATGCTTATGTGTAAGGGGAATGAATGACAACAATGAGAAAATGAATGGAAAAGAAAAAAATTACAATAATTTTGCTATTACCAATAAAGGATGTAATGCTATTTGAAAGTTAATTTAGATTAGATGTACAGAAATACTTCAAACTCTAAGGCAAGCTATAAAACTTTTTGAAGAGTTTAACTTTTTTCTAATAAGGGAGAGAAGATGAAATTGTATAAAAATCTCCACTGAAGCCACAATAGACAGAAAAGAGTGTAAGACTCAAATAGGAACTAAAAATAAAATGTTTTGTAACTACCAACTCCACATAAGAAATAAAAACATTATGTATGGCAAACATGTGCTAATAAAAAATACTTCAATTTATAAAACTAGTATTGGAAGATCAAATTAAAACACAAACAAAATAGAACAAATAATAAAAATTAGAGCAGATATTAATGGAATTGAAAACATCGATGAAGAAAATCAAGAAACACAAAGCTACTTCTTGTAAAAGTTAAATAATATATACAAGATTCTAAAAAGAGTGAGTAGGAAAAAAGAAAGGACACGAGTTACTAGTATCAGAATGAAAGAGGATATAATATCATAGAGTCTATGGTCACTAAAAACAGGACTACCATGGAAAATACTGCACTTACAATTTTAATAGCCCATATAAAATTAATGATTTCCTTGAAAGAGCCAATGTATTCAAACTCTCAAAAGAAGAAATAGACAATCTGAACATATATAACAAAATTGAATCAATAATTATTAATAACCTTTTAAAACACAAAGCAGAAGGTCTAGATGAATTCACAAGTGAGCCACACCAAAAAAATTATATCAATTTTCTACAATCTTCTTCTTATATCATTCTACGAGGCCAATATTATCCTAATACCCAAACCAGAATAGGATATTACAAGAAAAATGAAAGGGTAGACTATCATCTCTCATGAACACAAATGCAAAACATCTCAATAAAGTCACAAATCAAGTTGACCAATTTATTTAAAATACACATCATGAAAAAGTGTGATATATTCAGACATGCAAGCCTTCTTCGATATCCAAAACTTCATTTGTGCAAGGATCTTCAACTCCAGTGCTAAACTAATTCCAGCCCATGGTCCATTAGGAACCAGGTTGCACAGCAGGAAGTGAGAAGCAGGTGAGCAAGTGAGGCTTTATTTCCATTTGCACTCCCTACAGTGCCTGAGCTCCTGTATGATCTGCAGGAGAGGCAGTATATTCTTCTGTATGTACAAACCCTACCTTGGAGCAATAAAACTTGTGCTTTTGACTTTTAATAATGGTAACTCTGTCAAAAGTTCAAATATATAAAATTAACATTAGCAGAAAGAGACTATAATAAATCAACTGATTAGAGACATATCAAAACCGTATGTTTAGGTGGCAAGTGAAAAATATGCTGCATCAGGGGACAGGTGTCATACTTCCAAGAGGGCTGATTGCTTCAAATGTACAGCTGCGTCGATGACAGGCTTTAAGTAAGAATCCAAAACTTTTAGCCCATGCATGACACACCCTTGCTGTATTTATCACTTCCATATGCACATCATTTCACACTGTGCATTTGTCTCAGTGATAGTTTTGGCAAATCGACTAACACTTCCTAGCCAGGATGAATAAAAAACAAATGTCACTGGAGAGATAAGAACACAGAAAAACTCTGTGATGAGCCAAATAAATCTAATACTAAAGAAAATACTGAATCCTTCTTAAATTCAATTCATTGCAGCATTTCACTTAAATTTCCAAGCCTATTTGGTATGATATGCGGTGACTGGTTATCCAAGCAAGCAATGAAACCTTCAAACCTGTTTTGCCATGTGGATATCAAGCACTTTGCATTAAAAGAACAAGCTTTTGGAGTTTATTAAAAAATAGTGAATATGGAAAACACAAGCTTCTTGAAAACCACCATTTCATCAAATGTGTCTGCATTGAATTGGTGTAGGGGCTAACCACATTGTTAGAGCTAAGCAATCTTTCAGTATTGGTAAAAAGTTGATACTGTCTATTTTTCAAGATATATGTCATGAACTGTAGAAGAAAGCAGAGTTCATAAGGTAGCCCGGGTTCCTTTATCAGATCACACCATTACTAGATGAATTGATGAAATAGAAAATATTGAGGCTCAATTATTAGAGAAAATTAATGCGCTAATGTATCGTACAATTCAGGTACATGAGTTTACCAATGCTGATAAGAAAACATTGCTTTTATTTCTTGGAGAATTATTCAGTTCAGGAAAGCTAATTGGCTATTTTGTGCCTGTTACATAGAGGGAGAGGCTGCTGTGACTGGGTAGCTTTCTACTTTCATGAGTCAGGTCCAAAAAGTCTGGATGGGATTTTGTACACTCTATCATCCGTAGACAAATCCTGGATAGCCAAGAAACATCAATTGAACTTAATATTTCTTGTAAGATGTGATCAAAATTATCAATTCCATCAAAATAAATGACTTTAGCTCACTTCTGTTTGTGTAGCTCTAAGAGTAGGTAGAGGCAGAGCACACATCTCTTATATACAGAAGTTTTATGGTTTTCTAAATTTAGATCACTGGACAGAGTCTGCATTAAGCAAACAGAAGCAGAGCTTGCTTTTTAAAAAAAGTTTAACAATAGGAAAACGTTTCAGTAACAGAGTGAGTCACAGAGCTTGATTATGTGACATTTTCGGTCCACAATGGAGGAAAAGATGAATATAATTTGAGCACAGGCGATCTCTTCGGTTGCCTGTTAGCGTTACTATGCCTTGTTATTAGACCAATGGGAAATTACAACCCCATTCAAGCAGAATGATAAGTGGCCCAAGAAAACCCTCAAGGCCTGCTGAGGTGCTTGATAAGGCCAAGGGAACACAGTGACAGGGTAGTAGAAGAAGATAGCTGTAAATACCAGCTATAGTCCCAATACTAGTTACAGAAATAAGTATTGTAATTGAAGTGTTTTATTTTGCTATGCTTGCTTTGTAATGTAACTGATAGAATTTAATTGATTCTTAAATATTGTTAACCTATGTTACAATGTTTTAGTTTTGAAATGTTAACAGTAAGCATCTCCCAAAGAAACACTTGCCTTCTATTCTGAAGAGAATTAGTGCATTTTCATTTGTAAGCAGGATACTTGTACCATATTAAGTGTAATTATAAACTTGTCTTTGTAGCTGGAGACTAAATATGGTTTAAGGAAATGTGTCTGCTTGTAAAGTTGACAAAGCATAGATCATGATAGTTTTGTGTTGTGTCACCTTGAGTAAATAATTCTCAGCTGACTAGCTAATCACAGAGTTCTGGGTATGACTGAATCATGCACCATGGAAGAGTGAAAACCCCTGACGGCTGGAGAAGCTGAAAACATGGATTGTCTGAAGAAAGCCACGAAGAAAGAGCAAAGCTAACCCAAGAGAGAAGACCTGAGGGTTATAACCACTAGGAGTGTCATAGGGGTGGGGTTACCCAAGCCCTTTGAAGTTTCCATCTTGCCATAGATTGCAACAGGTGCTGGACATGGCACTATGGGATCTAATGTTCATCCTGCTGGAGTTTGTTCTTGCTTTTGTCTCATTCTTTTTTATGCCTCTTCAAAAGTTTATCTTGTGCTACTGTATTTTGAAAGTGTTCAATGCTGTTTGCATATCTAAAGGGAATCATGGTGAGGAGTTTGTCTTAAATCTGAGAAAATTAGGACTTGCACTTTTTGGCAGTGTTGAAACAATTAGGATGCTGGCAACTCTTAGAGATGGAATAAATGAATTTTGATAAAAGGATGCAAGTGAATATATTGACGACCAATGACAGAATGTTGTGGCTTATGTCACCCTCCCCAAAGTCTCAAACATTCATAGATAAAGCTTTTGGGATGTGACTAGATAATGCATGTGTAACATTGAATCATGGGCTTGTTTTCCTAGATAGGAAAACATTGATTGGTTTATAGCTGACTGTGATGCTAGGCAATGAAGCCTGGGGATAGATAAGACACTGTTGGAGATATATAAATATGACTGAAACCTCCAAAAACTGTGAATCTAAATACATTTCTCCTTTAATTTGTTGAGGTCAGACATTTTGTTCCAGCCACAAGAAAGTAATTAAGATAACATGTTTCAAACATTAGCAAGTTTTGAAAGAAACAGTCAGGATGTTTTTCTCTGACCTGATGCTAGATCACTTATCCCAGCTTTTAAGTTTAACAAAACTCAATACAGAAAATTGAGATTTACTGGATACCAGGAGTGTAGATCCGGAAGCGAAAAAATTCATTCAAAAACACCAAGGAATTTCTTTTAACTATTTTTTTTCTTTTCCTTTATTTTTTCCCTTGACTTTTCCTTTATTGATTGTTGTTTGTTCGTTTGTTTTAGAGATTTAGGTTCAGAGTCTTGTCACAGTTTATATTGTTGGCCCCCAGGCCTCATGCACTTGCACTGTGCATTTGTGATTGTTTCTTTGTCTAGTGCTTGGATTGATGGTGTCAGTGCTACACCTGCCTAGGGGTGGAGCCAGATACCATATAACGGCAGGAAGAAGGTGTGTCTCCCTCTCTTGCCAGTTTCCACCTTGCCGTTTGCAGCCACCATGAACTGCGGCCCTGCCATGCCACCCTGCCTTGGAGCCAACTTAGTGTGGACTGAAACCTCCAAAAACTGTAAGAAATAAACCTTTTCTTCCCCAACTTTGGGAATCAGGTATTTCGTCTCAGCAATGAGTAAAGAGTAACTAGACATGTCTCATGCTTTCATCTTTTCTGCTTTTAACTTTTTTCCTTCTGACATTTTTCCTTTGCTCTATTTTTTCTTTCTTCTCTTTTTCTATTGCAGCTATCTAACACTACTAATTTTCATTTGCTCCTAAATAGTATCTTCCATCTCACATTTCTCCCCTCCTTCTCATCTTCCAGTGATTAACATTTCAAATTCTACTTTTCTCACTCTCTGGTACTCAAACTTCTCTATGTTTAATGTAATTTTAGATAATAAACTCTTTGTTATTAGTGTTCACTACTGCTCTACTCTTAGTGGACACAAAATTGTTCCATTTAGCAGATATTTAACATATGTCAATATTTGGTTTATCTAAGCATTTATAATATCTTATAGTTCACTTTTCTGTTGTTAAGAATGGTATGTTATAAGTTATTATGGTATCCCAATATCCACTTTGTCTTTTATACTATTTTTTGATGATTTTATTAATATAGCTAAGGTGATACAGTCATTGCCATTAGTTGGATATTTTAGAATTTCAGTATCTGGACTGCCTTGTGACATTAACATTATTATGACCAGTTCCCAGAAAAATGTGTACTCATCCAAATATATTGGACCCTGCCTGCCCAAATAAACAGGTGCTTGATTCCTGGACAGAGGCAAAGGCCTATAATTAGATATGCTAAGAGGAAACCACTGAAAAGCATCGATTAACTAATGAGAACTAGCAACAGAACCTTTCACTATAATGAATTACAAGCCCCAGTGCACACATGCATACATATTCACAAACACACACAAGCAAACAAATAAACAACAAATTGAAACACAAAAAGAGAATTCAACAAAATGTTTCCACAAACTCTCAAATCTCCAATGCTGGTCCATAGGGCATTTATGTGAAAGAAATCAAAAGCTTTACAACCAAATTATTCAAAAGAATAAGACAAGAAATTTAAAAAATCCATAAGGTGCTTGATTAGTAAAAAATACCTATAACTAAACAGACATTGTATCTAATGAAACCAACAGGGAGTTCACAGAAGACAATCATAATCTAGTGGGCTTGAAAAATGATTAAAAACAGGGATACTCAACATAAATAAGGGTCATAGTAGTAGAAAGTTACAAAGAGAAATTCACAAGATTAAAATTCTATTAAATGTATGGCCAGCAGACATAACCAGTGTGAGGATGGAGTGTAAGAACTATAAGACAAGGGGCTGAAGATTTAGCTCAGCGGCATAGGTGTCTGCCTTGCAAGCAGGCAGTTGTGAGTTCAATCCCCAGTACCGATAAAAAGGAAAAAGACAAAAAAAAAAAACCCTAGAAGACAGAATAAACACTAGTAAAAGACACTTTGAAAACAGTAATACAACGTGAAAAAGCATCCATCTGCCACTGCATGACACCAAAAGATTAAGATGAATAGGAATTAGTAAAAAATCAAATGAAGCCAAATGGCGTAAAAAGTTGTTTACTAAAATAATATCAGAAAACTTTCTAAATATGGAGAAAGAATTAAACATATAGACAGTTGACACATACAGAACACATAACCATCTAAAGATAGTTTTTTGACACAAGGAGAAATGTTGAAAACATAAAAGAATTGAATCTAAGCTATTTGTCTCTTTTCTATGTGATTTTAGATGATTAGTTATTATCCATTAATCATAGTTGAATCATATTTAAGGGGAAAAGGATAAAACATTCACTTTTATAGTTTTTGTGAGTATTAAGTTGAAATTCTTCACTACCTGATATATAGTGCTGGTTACACTCTAAGGGTTCATTAAATGATGACATGAATTTTTAATTTATTATTATATTCAAAATGACACACTTTTGGAGTTAACCTAATCAAAGGAGAGTTTGATGAATGAAATACATATAGGACAACTCACCCAAATAGTAAGGAATCATACATCCTACAGGCTCCTCGTGTTCCACAGCTTGTAGTGGACCATTTTAAACATGTTCTATCAATCAGGGCCCCGAAATATACTGGAGCTAGAATTCCTCCTGCAATGTGAGATGACAAGCCATCAATCCATGGAACATTTCAAGTGAAACTGGCTGGTAGACCACATCAATCCACTTTCCAGTAAAAAAAGTTGAAAATCTTGGGAGACTTATTGTTTTGATTTGATAAAATGTTTGTCAAACATGATACAAATTGACCCTTCAGATGGCAGAAAGGAAGGACTCATGATTTTACTTCTCCTTTTTTCTATTTTGGTGATGATTTTTAGAATGTTTTTTCATGTAAGAATGACACTAGTCCATACATCATACTTCTATTCCATTTTGCTTTAATCTGGTTTAACTTTTGTCACAAAGCAATCTTAGAATGATAAGGGACTAATAATGACTGAAGAGGAAAGTGGTATTGAGTAAAATGGGTGAGACAGTTGCAGGTTTTGAAAACATTACAGCCACCCTCGGAGAGATGAATACATATCAAAAATATTTTTTCAAGTAGTGGCAGTAATGTGAAAAAACTTACTGAATTAAAGTCAGTAAAGTTAGAAAAATTATGATTATAATCTTTATTGAAATCTTTAATCTTATGAGTTGTTTTTAATTATTTTAATTTAATAAACTAGATAGCTTCTCAAAATTCACAACTATTTTTTACTGAAGCCAATTGTGAGTTACAAGTTTGGTACTTATAGATAGTATACATCAAATACAAATATGATGTCAAATTGCAATCGTGTAATTAGAATGTCAAAAATCTTTATTAAAAATTCTATGTTGCTGAGACTGTAGATCCACAGCAGAACACTTCCCTAGGACATATGAAGTTCTGAGTTGAATTTTGCAACAAAGCCAAAAAGAAAAAGAAAAAGAAAAAAAAAAGAAAGCCTACTGAAGTTAAAATAAAGTTCTATGTTGCTTGGAAGATTTCTTCAATTCTCAGAATCTTGTGTCAACATATGAGAAGGAATACTACCAACCCAGATTCTAAGTTAGGCTTTTGTGCTTTGAGGTGGTAAGCAGGCACTTCTATTATTTCTAGAGGTCGGGAGATCCCACCAAGTAGAGAGGTGCCAGGAGAGAGATGCACAGCAGAGTATGCTGTAGAGAGGATTGGTATGGAAGCTTACAGCACCTCCATCATCTCATCTTACTCATTCCCTACAATTCTTTCTTTAACTTTTGGGAGTCTAGGACACTCTTCTCAAATCCCCTTCCTGGCAAGGTTTCCACTATAATTTAGCCACAGTCTTATGCTTCTTAGTTTGGCTTCCAAAAGTCCCAAAGTTTTTCTTCCACTATTTCCTTAAATTCTGCCATTCGTGATTGGCTCTGCCTCACGATGAGTGCTCTGCTCAATCCTCAGGACAAGGATGAGCATAGACTTCTAAATTTTACAAAATAGTACCCACAAGTGTCAAGAGAGAAGTTGTTAGAATAACAATGGGAATCTGGGAACAAAATTCGCAAATCACAACAAGGAGGAGAGTGTGATTTCCTAAATCTCTGACACGCATCTCATTTGAATAGTGAGAAACAGGCCTTTAGTCTGTAGAGTTTATGGCGTTACTGTTACTCTTTGTCAATAAATTTCACAATGTCCTGAGCTAATTGTTAACTTAAATGTTCTTTTAATGTAAGATGCTTAATTCTAGAGTCTGAGTTTCATTCTCCTTCATATTTTGAACATCTGGTTAGATACCCAGCCTTACAATAATTAACAATGCAGAGCTCCAAAGCTAATATCAGATTTTTATTGTTTTTCACTATCTCAGCTTCAAATTCATAGGACTCCCAAGTTGCTTCAGACATTACTTACATAGTGCCTCCATTTAGAAATAAGGCCCTCTACCCTGCCTAGTTGGAAGAAATATCCCTAAATAGAAAATCCATAAAGACTGCCTACCTTTCTGTTATAGCATATAATACAAAGATGATAGTGATTTGCTCTTAACAGATTGATTTTTAGAATTAGCAATCAAATTCTCTTTAAGGTCACACAGTTATCCTGTCTCCTATGTATTATTTTTACAATGAAAATAGAAACAATTCTTACTTACATTTCATTAAATTTTCATATAATGATACATTAATAACATTCAGTTTTTGTGCTTTGACACAAATATTGATCTCCTGAACTTAATATATTCTCATACCTAGTGATCGTAAAATTAGTGAATGGAAACCCACTGCAAGTGATTTCAGCTCAGGTTGAACAATTCTGAAATAAAACAAAAGCAAAGAAATATTAAATAGCTTTAAAGTACCAAACTGAGTTCAATATTAAAATATTCTTGTATTATTTTTCCTCAAGAATGACTGAAAACACTCAAGTGAATGATGCACATTGTAGGTTATTATTTTCTGTTTTAAAAGATACATACTTTTAAAGTACTACATTATTCATTTAATGTGTTATGATTTCAAGGAAGAATCACAAACATTTTTTTCATTTTATTCATATGAAAATCCCAGAAGAACATGACTGTAACAGGTTTTGTGATGCCTATGGAGATGCTGATCATGCTGAGATTGTTCAGTGAACATCGTATGTAGGAAAAGAGCAGATTCCTTTACCCAGGCATAGATCTTTTCTCACCTCACATATTTCTGTTTGATGTAACAGAAAGATTTACTACTACATTTACTGAATTACATAATGCAAACATAATAGCAGAAAATGTTATCTCTATTCTACTGTCTATGGTCAATATTATTTTAAATACACACAACACATTTGAATCCACAGTTAGAAATTCACTCAGCCTGTAATTTAGAATTTCACTGACTTTACTTTTAGAAAACTATTCCTGTGACGCCATCTTCTTTGGTTCAGTAAGCTGATGATATCTCTAGTCAACTGATAAGCTAATACATATCCAGCCAAAGAAAATAATGTGGTAGCAATAGAAGTGTTGAGCTCCCTAGAGAGGATTGCAACTCAAAACAGAAATCATATTTTCAGAAATGCTGAACTGAGTGATACAGTTTTGTTTAGTTTTGCTTTGTTTTTATTTCCCTAATGTATTTGGTGAATATTTAACAAATATTTTCTAAGCATCTCCTGGGAGATGTCATGCTGGTTGTAATTTTTAAAAATGAGATAAAAGATAATTCATATCAACTATGTGACTTGGAGAACATATCTAACTGCACTTAGCTTCTGTTCCCTTGTTAAATAGGCATAATAATTCTTATCTCATAAAGTGTGAAAGTCCAACTCAATGAGGATGCACTTTATTCCTCAATTTTATTCACAGTTATTTGGTTGGTAATCTTTTCAGGGGAACTATGATTTATTGAGGCCCTAAAATGTACTTGAGGGAGCTTGCAGTTGTGGCAAATGCCTAAAGTCACAGCTCCTTGCTAGGGTGAGGCAGGAAGATCATTTGAACTCAAGTTTAAGACAAAATTGTTCAATAATAAAAACCTGTCTCAAAAACAAATAATAGAAAAAGTGGGGGGATAAAAGGGATTTGAGAGCTTACAAAATTACTCAGGCAAATTTGAATTAAATATATCGTATTAAAAATTTAACATGGGGTTTCTGGGAAATAATGGAGTAATGGGCAGTAGCAAATCAACATCTCTGAGATTTGTAATCCAGGTTCTGGAATATAGCGATACAGGTAAGAGAAAGAGTGAAATAACTCAGTGGTACTAGCAAGGATCTGATGCAAAAAATGGAGACAAGGTAAAAAGCAAAGAGCCTCTAGAAGAGGTAGGTGCTAAATGGTGCTTTCTCTTGAAATCCCAGTTCTTGATGTGATAAAAACACCTCAAATCTATTGTAGCACAAATGCTACAGGTGACTCCAAACATCTGCATGGAGAAAGAAACCAGTGAAACAGAGCAGAGAAAATTGGACTGCAGTGATCAGTGAGTTATTTCAATTCAGACAGTCCCAGAAGGGTGTGAGTGGCTGGCCTCCATTTTGTAAATGAGCCTGCTAAACCCAGGACTCAGAGGAGCCATGGATTGATTCCATCTGGGGACTCCCAGTGGCAGGGTGAGCCATGGCAGCTATCCAGATACAATCGACGAAGTTCAAACTGGCAAGAAGCACCTGAAGTATTATGTGCTGAAACATTCAGGTTCCAGCTTCACAACCGTAAAGCAGTATCATTCTGAACTTCAGAGGGCTTGAAAGTATAGACTTGTTAGGATCATCCACCAAAACACCGTAACTGTACTGTAGGCTTGTTGGGATCAGCCAACATGAATCTGGTCTCTGCTTTTCCCCTTTCTCTACCAATGACAATAGTCACATGCCCTGACGTGACATTATTTTCCGTTACTTTATTTGCTTTTATTATTTTGATTGTTTCTTTTATTTTCGTGTGAGTGTAAACATTGTTTCTAGGTTTTAAAAATTGTTTTTGCTTTGTTTTGGTCTTATTTCTTGTTCTTTCTTCTTTCCTTCTCTCCTACCTTTCTTTAAACCAGTTTCCCAAAGCTTTTATAATCTTCTTTTGCAATTTACCTTTACTTCTAATCCCTTTCTCTTTTCTTTATCTGTTTTTTCCTCTTACTTCCTTTAAATTTTTCTACTGAGGCTAAAATCACTCTGCTGAGAGAATAAATATTTAATGTGTAAACTATTTTACATTTTGTTATATATTTCTAAATCCTGTCCATATGGTTAAAAGTTTCAAATTAATACTTACTACAGTTTGCTATTTCCTAGGCAGTCCTTGATACTGTTATTACTAAATGTACTACTTTAGGCAAAGTGACATATTTCTTCTAATCAGTTCTTTTCCCTTGTATCACAAGAACTACATTGCCTGAGGGTCATAAAAAAAATACTGTGGACCAGTGCCTAAAAACCAGAGCCTAGAACAAAGAGCCAGCAGCTCTTCATCTCCAATAAATTACAGAGGTTGGATCTTGCAACAGATTCGAAACTCAAAAGCCAGCTACATCTGGAAAATATCACTAAAAAGCAACTATTTCCTAAGGAATTCTTGGTAAGAGCAATAAAACTTGCTACCACAAGCAATATCAAAGCATAAATGCTAAAACTAAAATAAGAAAAGTAGAAAATGAAAAAACACAGAAGCAAAATGCAACCCCAGAAGTATAGCTTACTCAGGCAAACCCAGGAGGTGATGAAATGGAATAATTTGAAAATGACTCACCTAAACTCTCCAAAACATACCAATGGAAGAAACAAAACATATAGGTAAGACTCTAGCAGTATTCAAATTGGAAATGATTTCTTAAATATCTAAACACATGATGACCATAATGAAGGACATGATTAATGAATCTCGAAAAATACAGATTTTTAAAAGATAATAGTGTTTATCAATGCCCAAAATAAGAAGGAAATGGAACATATGAAACAGATTCAAACAGATATCCAGGAGATTACAAATTAAAGTACAGACTGTAGAATGAACAAATGTCAGAACAGAATATCAGATCTAGAAGACAGGTCTGTGGTTAGTAGTGATAGAAAGATTGTTTTTAATATAAAAGTAACAAAATATCAATTAACAGCAAAAATAACAAAAAATAACAAAAGGCTTATCAAAATCAGTGGAGATAACACAATAACATAAACATCTGTTAACAGAAGTAATGGCAGAAAACTTCCCAAAGAATTAAAAGAGCTTGATGTACAGATAAGTGAGGAATGTGAAATTCCTATTAATTGCCATAAAAACTATACTAAGGCATACAATTGTAAAGATTGCAGAAATTCAGCACAAAAACAGAATATTATAAGCTTTTAGAAAAAAGATAGTAATCACCTATAAAAGAAAGTCCATAAGAATAAAGGCAGATTTGTCAACATGAACTATTAAATCGAAGAGAGTTTTGAGTAAAGTATTTCATGTCCTAAAAGAAAACAACTTCCAATACAGATTGATGCACTCCTTAGAATTATCTTTCATAATTAATAGATAAATAGACCTCCATTACAAACAACACCTAAAGAAATTCATGACCACCATACTAGGACTCCAAAATATTCTGAAGAATATTCTGGATATTCTACAGTTCCATGAACCCAGGTGAAAAATCTTTGTTATCTCTCTCTAGAGAGAGATAGCAAATACTACAGTTCCATGAACCCAAGTGATAAGAATCTACTAAGAAAGGCAAACATCAAAGACAACAGCAAGAAAGGGAACCAAAAAACCAAAAAATTATATGATAGAAAAATTATGAAACAGAAAATTATAAATAAGTATATATCAGTTATAACTATCAAAGGAAAAGGTCTCAATACATCAGTCAAGAGAAACAAATTGCTCAATGGTCCAAGAAGCAAAATCGAACAATATGCTGCCTATAAGAAACTATTGCAAATAGAAATCAGAAAATCATTCAGATTATACACCATTACCAAGTAGTATTCATCCCAGAGATTCAGGGATGTTTCAACATAAACAAACAAATAAATATGATATACCATAATTACAGAAACAAGGACAAAAACTACATGATAATCTCAATAAATGCAGGAAAAAAAACCAATATCAATTCATGATAAAAAAAATTCAGATAATAGGTTGTCTTTATTGCAATCTGATAAAAGTCATTTATGGTAAACAGCAGCTAGCATCATAGGAGTGGTTGAAAACTGAAAGTTTCACTCTAAAGCCAGGAACAAGACAAGGATGCCCACTATCTTCACTCCTATTCAATATAGTTCTGGAAACATTAGCCACACTAGTCAACAAAAAGAAATAAAATGATTAATGATAAAGAAGGAAACAGTTAAATAATTGGTATTTATAAATGACCTCATGAAGAAGATCCCCAAAACTACACAAAAGACTGCTACATTTAATAACCAGATTCAGTAGAGTAATTGGATGCAAAGTAAATGCTCAAAAACCAATTGCATTCCTGTACACAAATAACTCACTGAAAGAGAGTTTAAGGAAACTCCTCAATTCACAATGGCATTGAAAAAGATGAAACACAGAAATCAATCCAAAAAATTAATAAAAGACTTCTAAAGTACTCTGAAAAAGGAGATCAAAAGAGTATAAGCAAGGGAAAGCTATCTCTTGTTATTAAGTAGAAAGAACCAGGATAGCGAAAATGGTCCTAATTCCAAAAGTGTTATCCAGATTTAGTGCAATCCTAATTAAAAAAAAAAAAAAAACACAGACATATCTCACAGAACATATCTCACAGAATTAAAGAAAACAATCACTCATTTGGAACCAGAAGAGGTCTAGAATAGCAAAAACTATTCTG